TGTTGGTTTGGGTAGAGCTGGAATTGGACTGGAAGCTCCTTCAAGCCCTTTGGGGTGGTTTGCGTCCATCCACGTGACGATAAGCTCGCTCACCCTGACCGGTCACGGGGCAGAGCGCGCCTCAAGTGGAAGACCTACATGTCTGAGGAGTGAGTAAAGTGAACCAAGTAGCATGTTTGGATATTTTGAGCCGTTCAAGGCTCACAAGGCAAACCCAAGCCAAAGCTTCGCCTCTTACCTGCTAAGTGTTCCGTGCCCGGCCCCACTTCAACCCAGCAACGCACGACCAAAGCGTAGAAGGCGGGCACGGAGAAGGGGTAGTTCTTAAAAATTACCTCAGCCACTGTCAGGAGGCTCGATCTTGTTGGCACTAAAAGAGGGGAAAGCAGAGCTCTTCTCTCTTGTGATGAGAATGATAAGTCATGGTGTCATAGACCCTGCTCGTCTTGCGGGGCTGCTTGGCAATGTTGAATGCTAGGGGAACAGATGTGCAAATTCACAAGTAGCTCCAACATTGTCCCCACAACATGGTGGGACTACAATGACTACAAGACACCAACCCAGGCGCAACCCAACCATGACAGTCATGTCCTACAGAGAGATCTCTAGAGAGCCTACCCCCACACCCACACGAGCAGGTGCTCGAGAACCAGTCCAGTGAGTTCCATGAAAACCCGAGCTCGGCTGGCCGACCCACTCTTCGGCCAAGGACCGAATCAGGAAATAAACACGACCAAGAACCAACCCTTGTTTTAATGGTCGAACAGAAGTCTAGGGTGGAAGGAACTTCTCAACCTTCATGAAGGGCAGAAGTTCTGCCTGCTGCCGCGCCAAGTCACCTCCTCCAAGCCGTCGATGATGGTCTTGAAGCTTACAGCCTCAGGTGAATCCGACTTCCAACGTCCAGTCGACCAGCCTCAGGTGAATCCGAGTGACTCGGAACTTGTCGGTTCCTGGACTTCTAGGGCTTCTAGGGGTATATTATATGGTTTGTGTATGTTTGTGCCTGTTTGTGGATGTTACCTTCTGGGTGGTGCCGAACATCGTCGGTTCCTGGACTTCTATTGTGGAGCCAAGCTTACAGACTCCCGGCTCGGGAACTCCCTAGCTGTATGGAGGGGTCGCCGGTCTGTCTCACCCCACTCACGATCGGTGGTTGAGGGGAGCATGGAAAATATGAAAAAAGAATGTGTTAACCTTGCTCCACTCTTGTTGAGTGGAGTCTCCCGAATCCCCTCAAAAGAGGTGACCTACATGTGATCCACGTACTTCCTGGGTACGATGAGGCAGATCTGTGAGGTGGCTCACGCGGAGGTGTGTCTCTGGGTGGAATTGATGGAGAGGGTCGCTGGTGGTGGACGAAGAACTGGAGACTGCTGCCCTGGAAGTCTTCCAAGTCCCAAAAATCACCTGAATCTCCCTAGAAGTCTTTCTCCCTAGAAGTGCAAGGACGATTTTTGGGACCACTTCGCCGTCTTCAGGACACTCCTTTTCAGATCATCAGGAGGGCATACGTCCAAGAGCTTCTTAGTCCAAAAAGACTCCACGAAGTGATGCCGAGTGTCCCACACCACTGACCTGTTGTGCCGTCCCCCTCAGGAAAATAGATACTGAAGACTGTAGAACTGAGACTATCCAATGCACAATATGTCTGACAGGACTTATGTTTCTTTCTATTCCGGGGATCACCACATTCTATAGACCTCACTTCAGCCACCAAAAACGCCTTCCTTTTTTGCTCCACTTGCACCCACCCTCTCCTGAGTTCACCAAACCGGCCCCCCCCGCACGAGTTCCCCCGGCTGCGGCGGCGGAATTGGACATCCGCGGCTCGAAATAGTCCCGGATCTGCGGGACGATCGGCCTCACATCAATGTCCTCCGCAGCATTCGCGCACGAAGGCCGGAGAGGCGCGATCAACCAAGCGCACCCCAGGAGGGCGGGTAGGTAGCCCGTATAGAAGTCCAGGGAAGATCATTGACAACACCGAAGTCAACTCGGGTCACCAAGCTCGTCACACCCACTTAAAACTTGATCGACTTGATGAAATCCAGGGCGGTAGGTAGTGGAGAGAGGTCCACGAGCTGGAAGGTGATCCCATGACAGTGCACAGATCGAAACGTCGACTCAAACTGCCACACCGGACTGGCGACTGGCATAGGGACTCACCCTCCAGTCCAGGACCTTCTAATCGCCTCCTGGCAGCTCAGAATAAGCATCTCAGACGTGAAGATGATCCATTCGATACCAAGATTTATGCCCTCTTCCAGAGACCCACATGGAACCTGAAAACTGGTTTGTAGAGGAACACAGTCATTCAAGGTGCCAGGAACACAGGGTCCGTGTTAGTTAGCTTTCAGGAGTGGGAGGGATTTTGCTCTGCTGATTCCAGTGTAGCCCCAAGCGACTATAACAGGACTTGAATGAAACAGTTAAAAGAAAATCAACATATTCCTGGCCCCTGGCGCCACTCATCGTCCCAACGCTTCGGTGTCCTCCGAAATGAAGCCCAAATGGTGGTAGTCCCTGGCCATGCCAGCATAATCGCCTTGTGCATGCGATGGGCATGCCATGCGGGGCCACAAGAGGCGAAACTACCATCAAACCCATACACGACCGATGTACCTGGACCCGGTCAACCTGCCAGGTCTCCGAGTTTTGAAACCTGAAAACCACTGGGTTGTAGAGGACAATAGTCTTCCAGTCCGGTCAATTTTCAGGTTCCATGTGGGTCTCTTCCCGGGTGTTGCTGAAATGGATTCTCAGTGGACCATACCTGGTGACCTATGCGATCGGACCTGGATCTTCCAGGAGGGGCATTCGGAGGGTACTGGTACCTGGATCGAAACCAACGACATGCAAAATGGATGCCAAATGAAGGCAGACATTTGGTGGATGTGAAGGCAGACATTTCTGCACGTCAGCTTTCGATCCAGCTAGTCCCCTGGCCGTCCGTCCTGGCCGTCCTGGCAGTCGACGCTTCGTCGCGTTGGGGAAAAAAGCGGCGTCCCTTTGTCTCGGTACTGCTGCGGCGCTCGGTGGTGGGGCTCCAGCAGCTTCTGCAGTCGCAGGAGTCCAGCTGCGTCTCGTCCCAGACATCCCGAAGGAAGAGGTTTGCGATGCTAGGTGCTTGGTCATCACTGGTGGGGCGAAGGTCACATCCAAATGATGGAAGTGCCATAGAGTTCCAACATTGGCACAACATACACAGCCTCGATATGGCCATGGTACTTGAAAAACTTCAATTGTAACACCTCTCTCATGTATGTTGTACCCCAAAACCCTCGCAATCCGCATTCGCTGTGTTTAGCTTTCCAGTTTGCACCCCATTTGGACCCCTTTGGACCATCAAAACCTCACTCAAAACCCAAAGAATGATACCAAAAACCCTCCACCCGCCCCGCAGGAAAAACGGGGCCACATGGACGCTCGCTCGGACGCTCGGACGCTCGGACGGTGTTCCGAAGACCACATCGACCTGGCGGTTTCGGTCACCACGCGCTGCGACGTGTGGAGTCTCCAAGCCACCAAGAGGAGACCTGTTGGAGGGACTAATGTATACCCTAGACTTCCAAGACCCTTTAAAAAATGGGAACGATCTGGTTTTTGTAGTGTAAAATCCTTAGTTGATTCCATAAAGCCTATTAAATTAATGGTGGTTGGAGGGTCTAATGCCGGTTTTTGCGGGTCCATGTGGTCTTCTGCCAGGCAGGTATCCTCGAAGTAGGAGCCCTGCACAGACCCATCTCCCCACTCACGTCACACGTCACACGGTTTTGGACGAGACACGGTTCACGACGTGCACAATGTGTTGGATCACCTTAGGGGCCAAAAGGCTTTGTAGTCCAAGAGTCTTATGGCAGAACATGCTCCTCCCTAACATAATCTAAAATAGAAAACAAAGCCCTGGAACATCCTGGAACTGTTTCCAAAGAAGTGTCCGATGCGTTATGAATCCGTTGGTCATGATACTGACCACCTGCGTTGGTCCAATACGCCTGGGTCGCCTTCATCACATTGGCTATGGCACCGAAAGACACCCGTCGACCACGCGTTCAGTCGACCGGAGTCGACGTCGATCAGACGACCGACGACCGACAACCGAATTGCGGGAGGGTCAATTCACCAGGAGTGAGTGAAATGGGCTCCAGGTGTCATGGTTCCATGACAAAACAACCAATTTCTGTACCAGGACCGATTCCATTCGCCCGGTGGTTGGAAGGACCACCCCGAATCATCACCTCTACAAACGAGGCTGTTATTGATAGACACCTAGACTGACGGCGTCGGTCCATTGCTTCACGTGGTTCCGGTCCTCCTCCGGTCCTCCTCTGGTCAATGAATCCGGAGGACCGGAGGACCGACGGTCGCCGATGGATGAGCCGTCTGCGAGGACCGAGGGCACACCGGTGAGGCTGAAAAAGCCACCGGGGCCGAGACCGACTGGGGAGACCGTTGGCACGTCCGAGTGGGTGTCAGAGGTTCGATGGTGACCTGGGCCCCCAAGTTCAATGATTTATATGGGCCTGTCCCATCTACAGAGTCAACATGCACCCATCCCCAGCACTCGCTTCACTCTTCACGATGACATCGCGCGTCGTAATGGCTGTGACAGTCTGACTCGGGATTGTCCGACGTGCGCCATTTGGGTGTGTAATTTAATAGGGAGACTCCCAAATGGATTTTGGCAAAGGCTTTGATATATTTTCCTTGTTCCGGGGTGTGGAGCTGGGAGGTCTCTCTTTTTCAATACACACCCATTACACACCCATGTTCAGGCCACCAATGGAAAAACATGTTCCAACAATGTCCAACAGACACAACAGAGCTGAGATTGCGACTGGGTTCTTCTAAGAATCTGAATTCTGGCTCTCTCCTCCTTCTCCCGGATCAGTGGCAACACCCTTGAAGTATCTTGAAGTACTATAGACCTTCCATCACTCCACCCCTCCATCACTCCCATGTGTCCCTTTTTCGAACCACGGTGTTTTGCCACTGCCAGAGCTTCGGTGACCCAGCTGACCCGTCCTGAACACGTTCGGAACTGGACTTCGAAGCTCCATGAAGCCACCCGGTCCAGCTGGTTGACCAAGGTCCGCCGGTTTCGCGCCGATGATGGTTTTCGTGGATGGACCGTTCTGATGAGGTATGTTCCTTCGTGTTCCTTCCAATATCCACTCAAGATGGGATAGTGCTGGTAGATGTTCCGCATCTCTTGCGCTACACTTCCCATCACACCTGCTGGGTCTCACAGGGTTCAGTCGGTTCCGACGGTCGACCCAGTCATCCTGGACTTGAGGTCTCACAGCATCGGTCCTCATCCAAAGCTATACCTGCTAAACCTTATAACATCTTGTAACCACCTTTTGTTGTCCATGTCGCTAATTGTTGTCTTTTAGCATCCTGGACTGGAATTGGTATCTATCCAGGGTAGCAGGTACAAACGTTCACCCCTGGCTGAAGGTGGCGGCACATCCCGTGGCCAGGTTCCACTCATGGCTCGCGCAACGGTGAGCCATGATGATGCGGGCCAGCACCCAAGCGACCAGCCCAAGTCCTGGCAGAATGAAGGCCACAAGGATGCACAAGCCCTCATGGCGTGGCTCTCCAGGTTGTCTCCAAACGGTGAAGATCATGTCAATGGCCAGCTTGGACAGCTTCTTTAGTACACTGATGATCCCAAGGCCCATCGACATCAAGATCTTCAGCCGACCCCAGCCGCTGAAGCGGCTGAAGGAGGCGCTGAAAAAGGCCGATTGCAGGAAGAGCTGGGGGAGGTTCTCGGCTAAAACCTTCACCAAAATCACCACCATCACCTTTTTGTTCTTGACACTTGCATCACGTTCGAAGTAGGCAGACAAGCCATGAAGGCCTGCAATGTCTGCCCCCAGTGCTGCCATCAACGTTGAGTCTTCCAACGTCGAACTGAACGCCTGCTGGAGGGCAGTAGCCAACAGAAACGCCAAGGCCATGAGCCCTGACAAGCCCAGCCACGCCGCCAGCGGGGTCCACAGCTCCGACAGCCCCGAGCCCCGGAAGGCGGCGACGAAGCGCTCGGTGGCCGCCGGGTCGCAGGAGGCGGCCTGGAGAGGCATGGCACCGTCGGTGAACATGTCCTCGGAAGTCGGAGGGACTAAGGCGAGGCGGGTGGCGTGGAAAAACCCTTTCCGAGGCCAACCCACGGTGCCCCAAAAACGGACGCCTTAAAGAACGGGGCGACATCCAAAGAAGATGGACGACATCCAAAGAAGATCAACGACGAGGTTCTCCTCATCGAAACCTCTCCGTTTCCCCCAACAAACGCCCCAACAATCCAGGTCGTCGTCGGACCCTCTGAGCCTGTTGACCGAGCGGAAGAAAAACGCGCCGGACGAACCGTGCGTCCGGTGTGTGTGGTTCTTCTCTGATCCAAGGTGCTAAGTGCTCCAGAGGGCCCCAGAGCCAGAAGCCAAAACTCCGAAGGTCTGCCGCCGAGTTCAGATCCTGAAGCATCACAGCCTCCTCAGACTGCGTTCATGCATCAAACAGGTTCCAGCACCAACAAGTGTACTCCACAAGGAACACCTCCCCCGGAAGTGGAGTGGATTTCACCCGCCCTGTTCGTTTCTTGGAAGGTCATCTTTGGGGACCGGAGGACTGTGCCATCCACGTTGCTGGGTCATTTCGTGTCATCTTTGACTTCAACAACACCAGGAGGGGGGTTTTCACGTGAACCACACCAGGATCTTGGCCAACGGCCACTCTCCCGCAGTTCCGAGCTAACATTAACATGGAACAAGAGAAAGAGAATGGACCGGTGGTTTCGACCATTTTCCTCTACAACCCAGTGGTTTTGGATGGTTTTGGGGGGTTCCATGTGGTCCTCTGCAAGGGGGAGTAATCTGTGCAAGGTTCTAAGACTTTGGCCTTGAAGAGGAAAGGCAAGTACAGGCCGTATGCCCAGCTGGGCATGCCGCCCGTGCAGCTGGTCCATGGCGCCGCCAGAAAGGGCACCATGGGAAGGACCACCATGAGACGGGCCTCCCATCTAAGTCTTACCCTGATGAGCTCCTCCAGGTGGTGTGTCTTCTCTTCCACCTGCAAGGCACTGCAGAACAAGCTGCAAGGTTCGAAAGGCTGGTTTGACAGGTCATCAGATATATAATCAGGTAGGTCCAACACATCCGATATGCGCGGGAAAGGTTGTTGGTCCTGGATTTTCTGTCATAGAGAAAACACTATTGCATATGGAATGTCTCAATGTGTGACACCACGGTCTGTGAGACCAGCACCAACTATCAAAGCGATCTTCCAAAATGAACATCTACAGACTTGCCACGGTCTGGGAGACAAGCTCGCTGCCTCCTTCTCTCCCTCTTGATCCTCTTCCTGATCAATCACTTCCTGCCCAGGATGCGGGACTACTTCTTCATCACCAGAGAAATTGCATGCCGGGAGCAGACCTGCTTCTTGTGATTCATCGCCGCAGCATGAGGAGCAGACGCGACGCGTCCAATCAGTAGCACCCAGAGTGTATGCAGGCTTGTCCAAATCGGCGCACAGGCTCTGCAGCCAGACCCGGAAGAGATATAGAATGCCAACCAGGCAAAGAAGCAAAAGGAGGCCAGATATGACCATAGCCATTGCAGAGAACCACTCCATCTTGATACAGGAGGCGAGGAGGTGCTGTTTGAAGCTGTTTGAAAGGTGCTGCAGATTGGAGCTTCATGAGTCTGTCCAAAGTGAATGAATCAAATGTGACAGACTTGGAGTTAAAAACTCGATGAAACTTGATGAAACCTATCGATCCCTGAACTCCGCCAAGCTCTGACCTGGCCCCAAAAACGCGCAAGGTTTTTTTCTGTTCTGCAAGAGTCGAAGTTCTGATTCTGCCCAACCAGCAGAACATGGTGAACATGACATGCATGGCATCACGAGTGATCCATCAAAAATCAAAAGCCGCCACCTTCTTCACCCCACACGATCCGTACGTCGCGGAACTCCGCCGAGGCACCGCCAAGCGCGCCTCTTTCGGCATCTCGCTCATCATCCCGAAGTCCAGGACGCACAGCTCGCCCTTCGCCGTTGACGCGCCGTTGACGCGTAACCCTTTCGACGTCCAGTGAAAGACATTGAAAGACTATATACTTTGACTGAAGGTTTCAGGATCTTCCAGGATCTTCCTGAACTTAAGGTGTCAGGATCTTCCTGAATATGTTGACTGAAGGTTTCAGGATCTTCCCAGTTCCTCGTGCCACCGTTCGTCAGACCAGTTATTAGTCGACTCCCAGGGCAAGTGCTACTCAACCCGATCCATCGTGGACCCCCCAACCCATTCCTCCCCGCCCTCGATCGACGTCGCCACCGCCCAAAACAGCGGAGTCTTCTCCGCGAGCGCGGACACCGTGGTACCGCGACGCTCCGCGCGTGCGAGCACCGCGACGCGAGCATCTCAAAGCGCGCGCGCTGCAACATGCACCAAAGCAGCGCTGAAGAACGGTGTGTTTCTCCGCGCCTCCTGTGGACCAAACACAGACCTCACGTGTCTCAAGTAGGACCTCACGTGTATCAAGTAGGACCTTGCTTCTCCCCCGCTCCTGTGTGGTCACGATGAAGTTCCCAGGATGTGGATCCGCATGGAAGAAGCCATGCTCCAAGAGCTGCCGCATCGCACACTCGATGCCTCGCAAAGGCGGCAGGAAGGCGGTGAAGGGGCGAGTCGGTGAAAGGGTGAAGACCGCGAGCGAGGTCGGTGGGGAGTGAAAGAAGACGAAAGGTATCAAAGAAAGATTGGAAGAGGCGAGGCATCAATCCAAGTTCTTGGAGCAATGAGTCATTCCTGCAACCTGACATGGCTAGCAGCGAGATTCCCACACAGCTTTGGACATGAACTTCAACACAACCAGAGCAAATCACTCCAAAACCACCTGCTGCTCCCCCATCTACCGAGCACGCACGCACGCACGCACGCGCGCCGCGCGCACTCACCCATCCGGCACACCCCAACGAACGCGCCGCGCCCATCGAACGCGGCTGCAGCGCCCATCGAAGCCGCGCCTATCGAGATGAACGGTAGGGGCTGCAAGCCTGGCTGACGCGCGCGCGACGCGCAGCAGAGGCGCGACGCGCGCGGGGCCAAGAAGCGCTGCCCTCTTGAAGTGCACGTGGCACGGCGACCCGGAGGTCATGAAGGTTTCTTCAAGGTCTCTTCCTTCACTGGGACCCATCTAGACTGATAGGCTGTCGTAATCCCAGTGAAGCAGCCAAACATGCATGTGTTCATGATCATAAACTGCTCGTCGAGGCCAACAAGCAGTCAGCTCAAATTCAACTCCGTAGCGTTTGAGCTATGGCAACGAACATTCAATGCTACAGCCGAGTGGTGAAGTCATGATTCTGGAAGTCATGCCAGAGGTGACAGGGACAAGCTCACACAGCACTATAGGCTTGGAGATCATTGTCGGAGACAATCAATTGCTGGCCGATGATGCAAAGGTATTGGACGCTGGAATTGCTTAAGAAACTATTGTGGCACTTGTTTTCGCCCAAATGTCGTGATGTGCTCCAAGCAGTCGATGCGATCGCCAATCTTGGCGGCATCATCGACTCCGAACTGTTGCTTGTGGTCGACATTCCACATGAAACAAAAGTTCCAGCAGTCACCAAGGGGTGCGATCCATGGAGATTCGGGGTGCCCAGCTACTCCACTCACTTAGGGACTAAACACCACCCCGACATGTGCCTCCTGGTTCATGCTTTTGCTCTTGCCAGACGTTGGCCAAGTTGACCATTCCAACCCCAGGCACTGGATGTATATCCATGTTACTACCGTATGATATTCCGGAGCAAGAGGAAAGGACGGATTTAAGGAAGAACTCGATCACCGGTTTCCTTTGCTCCCAACTTGAAGTCACTCGTCTACTCGTCTGGCCTTCAAAAACCTGACCTGAACCCATGGACCGAACCACCCGTCCTCCTCCTCAACACGTCGGTCCCGTCCTCCTCGTCTCGGTCTCCGGGCCGGCGCCTAGGGCGCGGATGGCGGAGGAATCCGTGAGCTTGGCACCATCGATCCACTCCATGACCTCGTGGAGCGCGCGACACGTGTCGCGCTGCACGCGATCGCGCTGCTCGCGTGAGAGGCTCACGGAGAAAACGACGTGGTGAGGACCGTGTGGGCAAGTGGTGAGTACGCGAGGTGTATTTGGGGGGGAAGCTGGAGCAGCTGGGGTTTAGGATGTGGAAATCGAGAACCATTTTCCAACAAAAGAAAGGCGCCGAGGAGAAGAAGCGGCATTCAAAGATAGCAATCCACCAGATCCCTAGGCTTCCAACCACCATTAATTTAATAGGCTTTACCGAATCAACTAAGGATTCTACAGTACAACACCAGGTCAACCATTTTCTTAATGGTCTTGGAAGTCTAGGGAGATCCTACCCAGATCTGGGTGTGGGCCGATCTCGGAAACGTGGGCACCAGTGGTCCGAGCGAGCCCGTTTCCTCGACGGAGACGGTAGTCGTGGGGTAACCACCGGAGACGGGTCGGCAGGTTTGGCCCCCAGGGAGGTCCAAATCCAGCAGCACACCAACAAAGCTTGAAGAAGCCGAACGTTCGACTATCCCAGTTTGGTACCCCAGGTTTTCCGGGTCCGACTCGTGACCTGGTCACGAAAACCACCTCTGTTGGTATGCCCAAATCCACCTGTGGCAGGGGGCTGGCACCAGACCAACCGCGCACGGGGCCGCTCCAGGTGCCCATCCCCGCCATGCTGCATGCCCCTCCGTCCGATCGGAAAGACGGAGTTGCTTTGAACGGCTGCAGCTTTTCAACACGTGTGTCAGAAAGGGCTGGAAAAACACCGGGTGTCGGGAGATAAGACCTTCAAAGACGGCCAGGCCCAGATCAGAAACGGCTTTGAAAACACGGGCACAACTAAAACCGTCTGCTTTTAACCACTTTACCAATTCATTGAGTATCTCCCAAGCCCCGAGGCCATGCCTCTCAACACCAAACGGCATGTGCCTCGAAACCAATGTCAAACGGCATGTGCCAAGCTTTGAACACCCCTGGCCGCGGCAGTGCCAACCCCGCACTCCCAGTGTGACGAGGTGCAATGACTTTGCGCGTCGTCAAGCTGGGATACATCGTGGGCACCTGGCACCGTTGCTCGGCACGCACGTTGCTCCCCCTCTCGGTGGTGTGACCTGTTGATGCCAGTTGCCTAGACTTCAAGAACTGGTTGGTTAGACAAAAAAAGTTACAAAACCACTGCCAACCCAAATCAACCGAAATATGGTTGAATGAAAGACCCACAGCCCTCAAGGTACAACGATAGCACAACTATATAATACCATCTAAAACCCACCGAAAACCCAAGGGAAATGTTTCACCTCTATATTGCCTGACACGTCCAACCTACCAGCACATTCACCTCTTTTCAACCAGCCCTATGTGAAGATGCCAGTCCCAGTCCCAGATCTATTTGGAGATCTTCGTCCAACAGGCAGGCGGCTCCCAGCCTCACTCACTCAGATCCCGTCAGCGAGCTTTCTGGGTGGATCGTGTGTTTTTCGGACCTAGTATAGGATCGGCCATGGCTTTCGGGCGAACTCGCGGAGCGAAGCGGAGTCAACCGTTGGACTGACGTTTCAGAAATTCCAAGAGAGGTTGAACAGCCTTATAGCCCATCCCATACGTAGCACTATGGGGTCCTAGTTCAGGTCTCTCAACCTCTCTTGGTTCATGTTGACTCTGAGATTTTCACCCCCCTTCACCCCTTCATCACCCCAAAGAGGTGAAGATCCACCGATTTCGGCGGGTCCTCCGAGTCCAGTCCAACCGGCGCGATGAACCATGCCACATCACCACCAGGAGTCCTGTCATACCCACCATCCACCCAGCCAGGTGCATGGGATGTGGCACTGTGCACCTTCAGCTTTTCCTGGTCGCCATAGAGGTCCCTGAAGCGCTGAGCGTTCCTCGGGTGTGCTGACCGCAGCGACCCTGGGAACGAAAGGGCAGAGAGAGGGAGCTACCAGCGGCAGATGCGCCTTTCTTTGATTTGTAAGTGCATTTTGAGTGGCGCCCTCCCAAAATCCTCAAAAAATATTACACCACCTTAGACCCCAAACAGGTGAGACAGACAGAAAGGGTGGACACATCTTAAGAAAGAATTGAGAACCCCTAACAATAAACTGTTTGGGGAAAAAAACAAGTCAGTGCTTGCTTTGGTCCGAAAGTCCAGGCCGCACCGAAGGTGCTGAGGCTTTGCTCACCGCTAGAATTGCTAGATAGCACATGGCACATAGCTTAAGCTTTAGCTTGGAGGGTGTATTTTTTTGCTCTAGAATGCAGTGTTTAAAATCAAAACATATTTTTTTCTAAAATGCAGTGTTTAAAATCTGGAATGCAGTGTATCTTTTTCTCAAAACATATTTAAAAAATCAGCAATCCGTTGGTGATGTCTGCTATGCTGCCCGAGTGACACTGCATCCTTGACATCCTATGTGCTTGCCCCTGTGGAGACCGACCGAGACAAACAAACGCACACTCTAATCTATACACCCTAAGAATTGTTGGGCTCTCCATGGCAGGGGTCGGAGACACCTACGGAGGGGTCCGGGCCGAACCAAACCCTATGTGTTGGTTCGGGCCCTGATTCTTGGGGCAGTATAGTTTTTGGCTCCGCCACTCGTGCTGCTCGAAGCTCGCGTGAGCACCAGCTTGCAGCACTCTTTCTGAACGTCTGGTCAATTGAACAAGATGGTCAAACCCCCTCGGTCAATGAAGGTCAAACACCTCTTTTCCATGCTCGCCACCGACCAGACTCTGGCAACGATGCCTCTGTCTTCCTGGAACTCGAACTGCTGAAGCACTTTCACCCCAGAACAAGCCCAGCCCGGTCTCGACCCAAAACCCAAAACCTCAGAGCGCCCCCTTCCCCCCCCCCTTCCCACCGCCACGCACGCG